ATATATATATATATATATATGAATGATTATACGAATGACCGTATTTTTGCTTTTTATTTACTGATTTTAATAGTAATCTGATATAAATCGATTTGTTGCGAGTGTATTAAATTTTTCTATAAAACGAAATTTTGTAATAAAATATGTTTTGTACAATATATACTATGTTTTCTTTAATAATTCCAGAATCATAAAAATTCCACAAAAATTGTAAAAGAAAGGAGACGAAGGGGAGACAATCTCATCTTGTGGGAATTGTGATAACATTTATTGAACCTTATTATATTTAGGTAGAGAGTATAAATTAATGTGTTACATATCTCTTACAAATGAATTTATTCATCTGCAACATGTTATGGAAATATACATTATATACACCGCAGAAGGCATTAAACATTAAACGCTTCTTTTGTCACATACATTGTAAGTATCGTAAAAGAAATCGCTGCAATTTCAAAGACAAGAAAGGACTTTCCTAGAAATTTGCAACGTTTTCACAGAGAGATTCTCCATAAATTTATCTAACTAAAGACTCGGAGAAAAAAATCCCTTAATCCATCTAACTAGATTTAATATAAATAGATATATGAACCTAAAGGTTTACATTTGGCTATATCAGTCATGAGCATGTTGACACGTTGGCGAATGCATAAGTCATGTTATGCTATTTTACACTTACTTATATGTACATTATAATAAATCTAAAAGAAACTAGTTTACTACAGAATACAAGAATTATTAACTCTATATATATATATATATATTCCATATATATATAGTATATTTTACTATATTTAAATAATTCTTCTTTAAGTTAATAGTAAACAGTCTATATAAAGAACTCTTACAAACTATATTAATTTTTTTTACAATTAAACTATTATTATTTATTTAAAGCCAAACTTGCATTTTTTTCAAATACTTGAATGTCGAACAATTGGAAAAGATAAGCAATCAGTAAAAACTTACATTTTTTTTTGTAAAAGCAATGTTTAAACATTTCACTTAAGTTCGGTTTCTACATTTATTATATTTGTTAATCTACTGTTCAATCATTAAATTTTTTCACATTTGAAGTGAAATTTCTTAATTTAAGATCCAGTACTTTTAGGATTCACTCTTATATAATATTTCTAGATAGATATTTCTCTATACGACTCTGAGTTTATACAATAAAGATTCAAATTTTCTTTAATGGCAAGTATTTCTAGATAATGACGATAACACAATATAGTTTAAGTCGATTTCTTTTATTTTGAAATAAATTTTTTCGCTTTCTGATCAAGTGACTTTTGTCATCAATGCCTACAATTTACGTATGTGACTTTTTCGTCATCTACGATGCGAACATAACGATGGCAGGCCCGGACGAAAAGTGTAGGTATGCGTTGATCTACAGAGAAACAAAAAAAAAATATTTTATAATAAGAATTTAAAATTATCGAGATTAAAAAATGGTTTAATTAAAAGACACACACAAACAAATTCAAGTTAAATAAAAATATTTTGCGATTTCACGGAACTTATTTTTCATTTTCCTCTTGATCAAATTACCAAGTCATTGATTATTAATTATAAACTACAAAATCATAAATAATTTAAATGCATTTTGGTTTACACATTCAGATGTGTAATGAACGAAAAATAATTAAAAAATCTCTATTCACATACATTATTCAAACCGATATTAATAATTTATGAATTTCCAATTTTAACACACGTTACACATTATTAATATACTTTTGTTTCAAGTGTTACTACACGCGTTGTTTAGTCTCACGCAAAAATATGCCAAGGCTCAATCCAAGAACTCAAACGGAAGTTAGTATTGTTAGACCACACACTCACATGCCTTCTCATCGAAATCGTGGTCCACGCAGGACGATTGTTGGATGTACAGAGCCGGTTTTAGCGGCCGGCCGTCCTGGTCCTCTATCTGAACCACTAAACCGTGATTATTACCGTTGCCATGTGGATTTCGCGGACTCGGTCGCCAGAATCTCAGGCCTTGCCCGACATCCAGCGCCAGATGAGCGCCTTTGGAATTCAGAGGCGTCACGACAGAGTCCATCAGTCGTTTCTTTGCTACAAAAATAGCAATTCTCTAAATTCTTTAAATATTCATAGGTAAGTTTAGCAATTTGCTAAATCATGAGCGTAACCAGAGAGAGAGAGAGAGCAGAGGACTACGCCTCCAAATCTTAAAAAAGAACAAAAATGAAAACCGCTTAAATGATTTGCGTGCTTAATGAATATTCATAATAAATTAATTTTGGAAAAGAAAAAAAAATTAAAGATGAAAATTATAGAAAGATTTTCTGAAAATCCAAGGTGGCTAGTATTATAAATTTAAGTTTTTTTTTCAATTTAAGGAATCAGTTTATAATTTTTTAAGAGAGTAAAGTGTAAATTATAGTAAATTAAATAATATGTGTAATTGTTATTTATTTGCTAATTAATTAAATAAAGTATAGCACGAAGTATAAAGTACTTAATTGGAAATAATGATGTAAAACACAAAACCTCCCTTCAAACGTCTTAACTCTAATTTGCCCCGGCCCTCTAAACAAAATCTTTATAGCTACGCCCATATATTAAAAATTAAACGATTAAATATAAATACTCACATCGATGCTTCTTCAGCGATTTGGTATAGTAGTAAACGGATACCCTGATTTTCTTCTCGTCGTCGTCTTCCACGTCAAAAGGACTCGAAAGCCGAAAGTCGGAAGTCGTGTTTTTTTGTGAAAATACGTGAAGTCGCAGTCTCGCAGCGACAACGTAATCGTCGGAAGTAAGATTTAATTGAAAGTGCATATTCATCAAAAATGGATCCATCCATGCCTCAGAATCCGTGTTTCGAGGTATGTGACCTATATAATGAATCGAGCATTCGGTCTAATAAGCAACATTCTTGAAAAGTCGCCGTGGTTGCGTTCAAAGAGCGAACTATATCAGCGCTGTTGTGTCATTCTATTGTTAACGTTAGACTTAAAATAAAAATAGAACAATACAATAGCTCTAATAACGTGCTTCCTGCGTGAACGCAGTCTTTTTTGAAACATTAGAAAAGAATGAATTATTAAATTACTTACAAACGGGCGAAAACATAGCGAGTCTCTCGCGTTGAACTTGATTGGTGTTGGTGCTAAGATTGTATCTTCCAGTTATCGCAAGAATTTTCGACTTAATGTCATCGATCGCCTTCTTTTGGCTCTGACTGCACAGACGGGATTAAAGTTTATTAGTCCGCTGCACGGAATGCTTAAATAAAAGGTGACACAACAAGCTTTGAAATCTTTAATAATATGAAAGCACACCAATTTTAGAGCTTTGCAACGTTAATAGAAAATCATCTTTGTTATATCGAGCTTATGCAAAAAATATTTAAATAATGTATTATATCGACTCGCGTTTGATTAAATCTAAATAGGTATGAGGTGTAATGCCATTCGAGTCTGCACAGGTTGTTGGTGTGTGATAAAGTAAATCCTTTATTGAAAATTAATGTATGTATACGTTTCGATCCTCATTCGGATCCTTATCGATATATACATCTACTTAATATCAAAAAATATTTCAAAAAAGATAAGACTAACGATAAGACCATTTTAAGAAGAATAATAAAATGCGAGAGCTTGAGCCGAAATATTTAGAAGTTTCAGAAGGTCGTTCGCATAATTGACGTTTTACAAAGAAATTGCTTCACAGAGAAGCAGAAGAAAAAGAAGAAGAAGAGGAGAAAAAGAAGAAGGTTATTCTCCCTCTCTCTGTAAAGCAATAAAATTTAAAGTAAGTGGCAAGCTTTTTCAAGAGAGACAGTATAACTTGCTCAATCTTAAAAAAAAAAAAACCTAAGAGTTTAATAAAAACCTTAAAAATATTTAAATAAACATTGCAGAGGAGCATTTAAAAAATGTTCAAAAATTTTAAACGGTTAAAATGCTTTCGGACACATTTCATTGGCGTTTTAAAAAAATTTCGTATTTTAATCATAGAAGATCTAGATTTGGCAATCTAGAAAAGATCATTTCGCTCCATGAATCTAGTGCGGCGGCGCGTCTGTCGGCTTGAGCATTTTCACCTCCAGGTTCCCGGCGAACTCTTCCGGGTGCCGACACGGGCCAATGGACGATGGTCAGTGACCTACAGAGGCACGGTACGGCTCGGAGGCATTTATTACACGTTGCAGACAGCGGCTAGACAGTCGGCGGATACACCGGCACCCCAATCACCTCGACTTTCCGTCTGGTCTCTCGGCGGAACCTTAATTTCTTAAGGCCGCGTCTCGAATCTTAAGTTCATTCCCAGGACGTCTCGACCAGACTCATTTGCATCGCTCGGCCTACAGAAACTTTTTCTTCGGCACTTGGAAGTCAGTTGTTCGCGTTCGCGTGACTCGAATTTCACACTCTTTTTCCCGACGCGACGTAGCACAATGTGACACCCATTTGCGTCTGCCGCCTCTATTCGGTGCTATTACAATTTTTAGATTTCGTATTTGCAAAATATAAAATTGCGGTCTCATGATTTTCGACGGTATCGGGACAAGAACTTGTTTATTTGCGCGCAACACGGCCTCCGAGAGACTTTCATCACAAGCAGACGGCTGTCGACGGTTTCGAAAGACAACGGCGACGTCGGACGATCGACCGAGACACCACAGGATTGCATAATAAATTTTTAAGCCATTAAGTAACGACTGGTGAAATAGAAAAGAAGAATGATGGGGCGAAAAATAGAAAAGAATGAGCGTCATTTCTCTACATGATCGAAAAGGACTGCCGTGTTCGAAACGCCCATTCGGGAGGTGTACAACTTCCACATCAACGACCTCATTGGTTTTTTTGAATGCCAGAAAAAAATTTATTTCCTCGAATAATAAAAAAGAGATGGCAGAAAATATGCATAAAGAAAGAGCTAAAAGATAGTAGAAGAAAATAAAAAAAAGAAGTAAGGTGGAATCAAGAATGTAAATCTAATAAAGCCGAACAATAAAAGAGAAATAGAGGAAACACAGGAATGCAAACCATTTTTTTTTCGTAGTTCATAAATTCTACAAATCTCTTTCGACTTCCTCCATTTCTCTGAAACGGAAAGATAAATGAGCTGTCACGAGGATTCGAACGCTATGCATCTTTAAAGAACCCAAAAATGACAATTAAAAGAAGGCAAAATATGTGTATCCATTTTTCATCATGAATTTAATCTTATCGAGTCGCCTAGAAAATAGATCCTGTTTTCTCGCGTGACAGCGGAGAAGTTACGGCGCTCTTCTCCGAAATCTCGGCTGCGGCCGAGCCTTCGCGTTCGATTCTAGGCATGCTCGTTAATCTAGCTGCGGCCAAGTCACGCGTTTCGCGCCGGCTCGTTGCGTACATGCCACGTCTGTCCGCCGTCTGGGAAAGGGAAGGACCTGGAGAGTCTGGAGGCCGTTGCATCATGAGAACCGGCGCGGCGGCGGTGCCGCGTGGTGGATCCTCCTTGCTCGCCTCGTGGGCCGGGTGTCGCGATAATGAAATTCACTGGAGCACCGCCGAGAATCGCCGCCGTGTCGGCCATTAGCGTTGGAGATTAGATAGGGAAAACAGGGAGAAAGAAAGAGAAAGAGAAAAAGAGAGAGAGAGAGAGAGAGAGAGAG